CCCGCCCCGGCGCCGCGGAAGCGCACCGGAAGTCTCCCGACGCGGCGCCGGACGGGAGCTGCGGCGAAAGCGGCCCGGCAGGTCTCCAGGTCCGCGCCTGCAGGTTCCGCCCCATGAAACATTTTCCTTTTAAGTTTCTCGTTTTACATTCTGAACTGTGGGTAACGACTTTTGTCAAACTGTGCATTTTATATCCCGTTCCAGAAACGCATCTACCAGCCATGGCCCGTTGGTCTCAATCAGTCGTGGTTACCGAGGCTGGGGCCAAGGTCGCTGCCGCTCAGTAGCCGCTGTCAGATGCTCGGTGTGGCCCCGTGGGCCAGGCTCTACCTGAGTGACAGTGTCCAGCCGGCCCATTGTCACCCAGTCCTAGCTTCCAGCCACACTCAGGCCCAAGAGAGAGCCTCAGAAGCCCAGCTCCCAGCCCAGAGAGAGCCCGTCTCAGTAGCAGTAGCCGCTGCCTCGGCTTCTGCAGCCACAAGCGCCCCCTGTCCCCCCGCAGCACAGGCCTAGGCTGGTACCTGTGAGGCCGAAACCAGCCCCTGAGGGAGGGAACCTGCTTGTCTTGTTCTCTGCCTTTCCCTGGACCCTAGCACAAAGCCAGGTGCGACGGTTCAGCTCAGTACACATATTATGCATTTAATTAGGAGCAGCAATTTGGTTATTAATAAATGGCTTCTATTTGGGGGCCTAGCATTGTGCTGGGTGGTTGTGCTAGTCAGGGTCCAACCATGGAAGCAGAATTAATAGGAGATATACATTAAGAGATTGATTGCAAGGAACTGACTTATGTGACTGTGACAGCTGGCTAGGTAAGTCCAAAATCCATAGGACAGGCCATTCGTATGATTTCTAAACCTTACATTACCCTAGTAAGTAGGTATTAGCATCCCCAACCTACAGAGGAGAAAACTGAGGCTCAGAGAGGATACACAGCAAGAGAGTGGCAGAGCAAGGATGCAAACCAAGGTCTGACTGGCTGTTCTTGTCCCTGTGCTGCTGCTCTTTAGCATGTCTGTCACATTTCCTCAGTGACACTGGACACGCCAATCTGTCTCAGTCAAAATTCATCTCTTAGTGGCTACAGACTAGACGGGGCCCTGCAGTCATGGTTAATCACAATGAGCAGCTGCAAGATTAACCAGAGATGGCCTCCATCAGTCACAGTCATGCTTATTGACCTCAGCCTGCCGAGTGAGTTCCATCTCCTGCATGAAGCAGCTCAGCTCCCGCCTCGCTCCTCCCTATTGCCAGTGTTAGGTGCTGAGCTCCCTGGTCTGGTCTCAGAGCTTCCTGTTCCAGCTGGGCCCATCATCTTCTCAGAGACTTCAGGGCACTGAATTACGGGCACTGAAGCTGTAAATGGTGGCCTGGGAATCCAATCTTGTGGGTCGCATGTCCATCCAGATCAGGTTCCTCAACCTTGGTAATATTGCCAGTTGGAGCTGGATGATTCTTCGTTGTAGGGGCTGTTCTGTGCATTGTAGGATGCTTAGCAGCATCCCTGGCCTCCATCCACTAGATGCCAATAGCACTTCTCAGTTGTGACAACCAAAAATGTCTCCAGACATTACTAAATATCCCTTGGGGGGCAAAAATACTGACCCCCCCCACACTGAGAACCACTGATGTAGGTGAAACCACCTCAGCTTATTCCCAAGCAGCACAGAGGCTGACCCTGTATTTATGGGACAGAGACACGGATCCAGGGTATGAGGAGACCCAATGTTTGCAAACCAAGTCCTACTGCAGAACCCCAAGGGTGACAGACAGCTAACAGAAACCTACTGGGGGAATTCAGGAAAGGAGTCAGAAAGCTCCTGGAAGCAATTGCCTCTGGCAACGGACAGGAGTCTGCAGAGGGCTGAAGAATTGCTTTTCACTGCATAGCATTTTGTATCATTTAACAAACTATTTTTAAAAATAAATTATACTGGCATTTTAAATTATAGGGAAATGTTCAGGATTTAAGTTTTAAAAGCATTTAGAATGGTATGTGCAAGGTAACTTCAACTCTGGAAAAATACATGTACGTGGAAAGACTGGAAGAAAATGCACCAGATTACCAGCAGTGGTTCTTGTTTGTGAGACTTTGGCATTAAGATGGTCTGGCACACAATGCAATATACAGATCATGTATCACAGAAATGTACACTTAAAATCTCTATGACCTTATTAACCAATGTCACCCCAATAAAACTAGTTTAACAAAAAAGAAAGGTAGTCTGGAGTAAGTCACTTAGTAGAATAAAAAGGAAAGTGCTGGTACCTGCAGTTCAGGTAGGCCAAGGGGTGAGTTTAAGTATGGGTTTTTAATTTTAATATTTTTGCATGTATTTTTATGAAGACCTCCTTTCTTTGGCAAGTGGCACTAGTTTTCCATTTGTGGAAGTAATACAGTTTCCTTTTTAAATAAACTTTTTTTGTTTTACAGAGTCAACTTGAAGAAAAATGGTAAGTCAATAATGAGACGAGTGGTGTGCATGGGGATACGGCGACCTGTGTGAAGGCGGCGGGCAGGGCTGCAGTTGGGGGTACCTGTCTACATTACCTAGGCTCCCATGCAGGGGGTTGCAGGAAGAGCCCCAGATGTAGGTCTCCCTTCAGGAAGAGGAGGCAGGATCATGCTATCCCTCCACACACCAAGCCCCTGTGTGTCAGGAGGCCCACGTGCTTACTGTTCCTTCTGCCTAGAATGCTCTCACCCAAGTTGTTCACCTTACTGGGTATTTCTCTTCGTTCAGCTCAAAAACAACCTCCCCAGGGAGATCATAACCGGCCACCTTATTTAAGGTGGTCTCCAGTGACCATCCCTGTCCCCTCTGCATTTCCTTCCTGGTTCTGATCACTCAGGAACTGTCTCTAGCTGCCTGCCTGTTTTGTTTGTTCCCTCCACTAGCCCATGAGTTCCTGGAGGGCAGGGACTTGTCTTGTTGTTGTTGTATCTGCAAAGCCTCATGCAAGACCTGGACCACATTCAGAGCTGCAAATATTTGTTGAATGAAAGTGTTCTAGGTTGGGATCTCTCCACTCCAATTGTAGCCCTTCTTGCAATGCCAACTTGGAGAGAGAGAGAAGGGAAGGGAGGGGAGGG